CATCGAGCAGCCTTCCCAGGCCGCCTCGAGGAGCGCCGAGCGATCGACCGGCGACGCAAGACGACGACGCCCCGCCCCCCTCCCGCCTTTTTACGGCCTCGCAGCCTTCGGGCTCCTCGTCCCCAAGCCTTCCCGCCCCTTGACGGCCGCTTCTCGATCACAGAGCACATCGATCGAGGCAGGTCACCCGACGGAGCATCGAGTTAATGAATAGTAGACCGGTCTTTGCCTGGCTTCTGTATCTCAAGTAGAGATGGGGGTATTTTCGTATAAGAATACGAACACCCCCCATCTCTAATTCTCAACGTTCGCGGTGCACTGGCGAAAGGCTAGGATCCTGTACCTTTACCTGGGGGCAATCCCCGTTGAATCCAGCGGAAGTAATCTCTCTTTTGTGGCTTTCTTGTATACGTGAAATATTTAAGAACCTGTCCCTGTAAGTCAGGTGCTCCAGCGGTGCTTCCCAATCTTGATTCCCCGGATATTCATTGTCTTAGCACTTCAGGGCTAAAAGAGACCCTATGGGTCATCAAGCCCAGCCCTTGTCTAGGAGGGGGCAGCGGGGAATTGAACTCCCAGCCTCGGGATTACAACTCCCAGAAGCCTTCACCTCTCGTTGTGCTGGCCAGGATTTCAGGGAGTTGTAGTCCAAGAGCATCTGGGGGACCCAAGGTTAGGAACTCTAAAGGTGTAAGAGGTAACACAATTTGTTCTTATTACATGCCATCAAATCGCCTCCCACGTGTGGTGACCCTATGAATGAGCGAGCTCCAAAATCTACTACCTGCAACCCCCTGCTCAGCTGTTGTAAACTCAAACCTCTGGGTTCCTTTAGGGAATCGTTTGGACTTTCTCTTTTCCTGCTGCCTTCCACTTTTCCCAGCATTTTTGTCTTTTCCAGAGAATCCTGCCTTCTCATGAGGTGCCCAAAGCAGGACAGCCTCAGTTTTATTAGTTTTTACCTCCAGAAATAGTTCAGGCTTAGTTTGATCTAGGATCCACTTGTTCATCTTTCTGACAGCCCAGGGTACTTGCAAAACTTTCCTGCAGCACTACCTTTCAAATGAATTAATTTTTTTTTCTGTCCGCTTTCTTCACTGTCCAGCTTTCACATCCAAATATAGTGATTGGGAATACAATAGTGTGGATGATCTTAGCCTTGGTCTCTAGTGCCACATCCTTACACTTGATGATCTTTTCTGATTCCTTCATTGCTCGCCTTCCGAGTCTCAGTCTTCTGATTTCTTGGTTGCAGTCTCCATTTAGAATGATGATTGATCCATGGTATACAAAATTTTTAGTTCTGATTTCTTCATGATCAACATTTAAGTTCTGTAGTTATTCTATAGTCATTATTTTGTAGTCATTATTCTCCTTAATGTTCAAGAGCGTGCTTTGGCACTTTCTTCTTTCATTTTCCCTCACTTTCAAGTCATTGCTGCTTTCTGCTAGTAAGATGGTATCGTCTGTGTATCTTAAATTAATGATGTTTTTTCTACCAATTTTCACTCCTCCTTCATCTGAATCTAGTTCAGCTTTCCGAATATGTTCTTGAACAGATAGATAAAATGCCCCCGTGTCTGACAATTTTGCCTATAAGAAACCAGTCTGCCTCTTTATAGTCTGTCCTAATTGTAGTTTTTTGTCTACAATACAGGTTACACATCAGGAAATCAAGTGTTGAGGCAGACCAGCTTCATTCAGAACAACCCATAGTTTCTCATGATCCACACAAAGTCTTTGCTCTAATCTATAACGCATAGTCTGACCTTATGAAATGCTTTAGAGCGCTCCAGTAGCCAGTGGATATTTGAAATATGATTTTCCTTTTTCAGCTTGATCCAGCTTGATCAAGCAGGCATTTCTTGCTCCATATAAGAGAAAAACATTTTTGCAGCACTTTGAGCATCACCTTGCTTGCATACAACATTAGAACAATGTCCTATACTTTACAGCACTCCTTAGCATCTCTGTTCTTGAGGACTGAAACGTGTATTGGGCATTGCCAGTCTGTGGGTTATTTCATTACTATTTGCTTTACTAAACTCAATTGACTGAGAACCAAAAGAACTGTGGGTTTAAACCACATACTGTATATTATTAGGGAAGAATACAAAAAACCAATTCCTGTAGGAAAAACAAAACAAAACAAAACAAAAACCTTGATTGATCCCAGAAGAAACACAATTGTGAATGTCACGCAAGAAGCTAATGTAACAGATAACAGAAATAGAGTCAGAACGCTGAATATAACTTTTTAACAAATGTCATGTAGAGACAAAGAGAACTATTATGACCAGTGCAAAGAAATAGAAGAGAACAAGAAGAGCAAAAATAAGAGATATCTTCCAGAAGATCCAGGAAATCAAAAGGCTTTGATGAGCTTAGATTAGGAATAGGGCAGCACACTATTTGATCAGAAACAAATAAAGAGAAAGTAGAAACAGTATACTGACAATCTATACAGAAGAGATAAAAGAATGACAGATTCCTTTGAAGAAGGATCTTGCAGTCCTATAAAGTGAAGTGAAAGCTGCTCTGAAAACACTGGGAAGAAATAAATCAGCAGGGATAGATGGGACACTGACATAACTATTTCAAGCCACAGAGACTGAATCTGTTAGAATCCTAATAAAAATATGCCAACAGTTACAGAAAACAAATCGGTGGCCCACAGAATGAAACCACAGTTGGTATGTGGTAGCAAAGTCAACAAAGAATCTTGCGGCACCTGAAAGGCTACTACGTTTTACCTGTGAAACCTCTGGTGGACTGTAGCCCACTTCTTAAGCTGCCACAAAACCTTATGATAAACAAAACTTAAAAGGTGCCACAAGCCTCATTGTTCATTTTATTGCAGTACACTAGAATTGGAAAAAACTATTCCAGTAGAAATTTGCAGGTTGCTATTTTCTACCACTATGAAGCCAGCAACCTTCTTTACTTGTTAAAGCTACAAGGCACCAGGAGGCCTCTCCCCTCCCTCCAATGCTTCACTGTTATTCTGCCATTTTTATATAATTAAATCTCAAAGCAGTGTACAGAGAGTTCTCAAGAAGTCTCACTTCTGGTAACTAACCAGAAATAGACCCACATATGTTTAAGTTGCTACATGCTGCTCATGCCATACTCTGGAACATGCAGTATATATACATGGTGTCTCTCCTGTTTTTCCTTCACCAGTTTTCCAGGACAGGTTCAAAATATTTTGCTACTCAGGGAAAGGCAAGGTAACCATCTCCGCATTTCATGTATAGAAGATGACCAGATTGGTAGCGAAGTATTAATTTAGCACTGGAAGTAGGACAACATTTGCCACCAAGACTTGGAAGACAGCAGGAAACTTTGGGAGAGGGTATGTGATCTTGCTATTACTCTCCACTCTCCACATCATCATCATCATCATCATCATCTGCTGCTGCTGCTGCTAGAGGCAGTTGTCTCATTTTGCCTAATTATAGATCCATCTATCCGTTCCAGTAAATAAAACCCAGTCCTGCTTATGAAATGTGTATGCATGTTGTTCTTTAGTCGTTAAGTCATGTCCAACTTTTCATGACCCTATGGGCCAGAGCACACCAGGCCCTCCTATCTTCTACTGCCTCCCGGAGTTGGGTCAAATACATGTTGGTAGCTTCGATGACACTGTCCAGTCATCTCATCCTCTGCCGTCCCCTTCTCCTCTTGCCTTCACACTTTCCCAACATCAGAGTCTTTTCCAAGGAGTCTTCTCTTATGAGATGGCCAAAGCATTGGAGCCTCAGCTGCAGGATCTGTCCTTCCAGTGAGCACTCAGGGTTGATTTCCTTTAGAATTGATGGGTTTGTTCTCCTTGCAGTCCAGGGGACTCTCAAGAGTTTCCTCCAGCACCACAATTCAAAAGCATCAATTCTTTGGCGGTCAGCTTTCTTTATGGTCCAGCTCTCACTTCCATACATCAAAACTGGAAAAATCATAGCTTTGGCTATGCAGACCTTTGTTGGCAAGGTGATGTCTCTGCTTTTAAAGATGCTGTCTAGGTTTGTCATCGCTTTCCTCCCAAGAAGCAGGCGCCTTTTAATTTTGTGGCTTCTGTCGCCATCAGCAGTGATTATGGAGCCCATGAAAGTAAAATATGTCACTGCCTCCATATCTTCCCCTTCTATTTGCCAGGAGGTGATGAGACCAGTGGCCATGATCGTAGTTTTTTTTTGATGTTGAGCTTCAGACCATTTTTGCGCTCTCCTCTTTCACCCTCATTAAGAGGTTCTTTAAGTCCTCCTCAGTTTCTGCAATCAGAGTAGCATCATCTGCATATCTGAGGTTGTTGATATTTCTTCCAGCAATCTTAATTCCGGTTTGGGATTCCTCCAGTCCTGCCTTTTGCATGATGTATTCTGCATATAAGTTAAATAGTAGATCCCACAAGCCTTATGCCTGCCTACCTGTATTTTATTAGCCCTCCATATGCATATTCACGGATTGCTGCTGGCAAAGGGGCTTGAGTAATTCAGAGAAGCTATGGGCTGTGCTGTGCAGGGACACCCAAGACAGACAGGTCATAATGGAGAGTTACATGGGATCCACCTGGAGCAGGAACTGGCAAGCCATTCCAGTATCTTTGCCAAGAAAATTCCATGGACAGAAACAAAACGCTAAAAGATATGACACTGGAAGATGAGCCCTCAGGTCGGAAGGCATCCAACATGCCACTGAGGAAGAGTGGAGGTCAAGTACAAGTGGCAACAGAGCTAATGAAGTGGTTGGGCCAAAGCCGAAAGGATGCTCAGCTGCGGACGTGCCTGGAAGTGAAAGGAAAGTCCGATGCTGCAAAGAAAAATACCGCATAGGAACCTGGAATGTAAGATCTATGAATCTGAAAAAAAAACCTCTCTTATCATTAAGTCATTCTCTTGTTGGCTGCCATTGACCCCTTTTTTTACCTGGACATTCAAAACAAAAGTTACTGAAAGGGAGAAAATCACAGAGACATGCCTCTAGGCACAACATTTTAAAAATAAAAATACTACAAGAAACAAATACAGTACAGGATGCAACTAGACAGGGAGGCCATCCCAGTTTGATCTGGTTTGATTCAAAGTTTCCTATGGCAGTTAAATTGCTGTTGTTCACATGGAATGTTTAATTACTGAGGCAGTTTTCGGGTAAGAGTCCAAACTGTGCCTTAAATCACTACAGTTCTCACTGGAATCATAGGTTGCCTGTCCTCCTCTGTTATTAATGCCATCTTCTTCCCTGCCTTTTTTTTTTTTTGATAAGTTGCTTGACAAGTGATATCGCTCTGAATTGATAGACTTGTGAAATTTCAGTGCATATCTGTTAAATTGGAAAAGCATAATAAGAAATTTGTTTGGAAGGAAAAAAAGTGTTCACTTGGGGGAGATGTTCCTGCTGTACACTCCGCATATTCCAATACGTTTGCTTATTCCAGTCTTTTCTAATTTTATTTCTTTCTTCCTTTAGAGTGTGGAAAGAAGGAATCATTTTATAGCTGCTGGGAGTCAAAATTCCTTGTCAATTTACTGGAAATCACCCAAAGAGCTATATTATGTCTACTGCTGCAGTAGAAGAATAGTAAAGGCAGCAGAATTGCTAATAGGCTTCTGGAAGAATGGACAAAACCTTCAGTTTGGGGGAATAGCCCGTTAGGCATGTTGTAGCAAAAGCAAATGTGTTTCCTGGAACCTTGGGCAACAGAACCTTCAGATTGGCAGGTGAAAATTTGTCTTCTCTTTTCTCACGGTATAGGCACCTACAGCGTAAGGTGCATGGTGCATTTAGCTGTGCATCCTGAAAGCTGGGAGGGTACGTTAGGTGATACAGTAATGTCTATCCAGTACAATCCAGTAACCCCCCAGCAATGAGGGGTTAGAGGACTTGTATTTTGATCCGAGATTCTACTGCATTCAGTGTAACTCAAATTCTGCAGAAATGCAGTGCTCCACCTATTTCTGAAACAAAACCTCTTACTGAGCTTCTATTAATATATAACTGGCAGATACATGTTTTCAGTGATTGTCACCTATTCTGACAGCCTTTCAAGTTGAAACTGGGTGTAAAGTTTTCCTAAATAACTATGAAGAATATGTGTCGTCTCTAGAAAATCTGAAGGACTCTCACCTTGTATGAACCTGCCTGGGTCTTGAGATTTTTAAAAGAGGACTTCTCTTCTGTTCCACCACCCTCAAAGGCACATTTTGAGGGGACACAAAGGATGGCCATCCTAGTGGCTGCTTCCAGGTTATGGAACTCCCTTCTCAGGGAAGCTAGGATGGCCCCTTGTCTGTTGTCCTTCTGACAACAGGTGAAAACACATTCATTCAGATACACCTTGGGTCACTGACTGATGCCTGATTGGTCTTTTCATAGTGGATGTTGGGTTTCTTTTTGATCGTGTTTTTATATAATCCAGTCTTTGTTTTAATGTGATCATTTATTGAATAGTAGGCTATATTGTCACTTGATTATGGCTTTTTAAAAATGTATACAGTATTTCTAAATTTATGCTGTAAACTACTTTGGGTCCTGCAAGATAAAAAGGAGGGTGATAAATTAATAAATTCACCCTTTATTTTCTGTCTGCACATGAAGAGACAAGGTTTCTGCCTAAAACTGTGGGTTGTTATAAACATTGCAGCTTCCTATGTGCTTCAAAAATAATCTTCCTTCAGCAGATACATAAGCATGGATGAATACACTCAAGATACAGAGTTATCACAGAGTGAGAACAGTGTGTTTAACATACTAAAAGTTTAATGTGCAATAGGCACACAATCAGGATATTATATGGTGTGTGTGTTTGTGTGTGTAAAAGGAGAAATAAAGAGACAGAAATCAGTTCTACGGTGCTAAAGGAAACTCTCAAGTTGCTTTAGTGCCAGCCACTTCAATTAAGGCATTTATTCCTATACTGAGTAACTAAGTGTGTTAGTTGTAGCTCACTTTATACAACAAATCTGAGTGCTGCATCAATGTGTTAATTTCAGTTGTTTTTCTGACTTTATGAACAAGCTATAATGAAAGCCTTGACAGAACTTTGGGAGTTCAAGGAAAAATTCAAAAGTTGGGGAAGAAAAGGAGGACATGTATTTCACTAGGCACACAGACACATGTATACTTGGAAAGTTTTATTTAAATGTTTTTAAATAACTGTATTCTTTCCTGATAAAGCAGCTTTGAAATCACATTCTTCTTAATGCTGTGGCAAACACATCTTGATGTCTTTGGCTTTTTTTCTTTCTATAACTGATCATTAGAATATCCAATACAAAAATGTATATTTACCAGAAAAATAAGCATATAATCCACAGATTAATCCCTAAACATCATAGTAAAACCTTTATCAAATGATTTATACATGGATGAGACAAAATCTTGTGCATATTGCATATACACACTAGTAGCTCAAAGCAGTGCTTTAGAATCACTGAGAAAGCTGTACAAAGCCAGAATAGGATATTCTACTGTAACATTACTATAATTCACTAATTTCACTACTTGTATCTTTTACAATGTATACAATACATTGTGGATAAAAACTCTGCCTGAATCTACAGATTGACACTCATTTCTATCTAACAGCAAATAAAATTTTGTGATTGAACAATATTTAGTTTACTAATTAAAAATTAGTCATTTCTGAGATTTAGTGTCACTGTACAATCAGTACTTTGATAAATTATTCCCTTTATAAAACACACAAATTTCTTCATGCACATCAAAAATTGATATATAAAAAATCCAAGAGCAAAGTTTCACATCGCGTAATTTGCACAGAGTGCATCATACGTACATCTGGAAGCAGCATTATCAAAAAGAAATGAATCTAAATAACATTTCCATTTGTTCAGATTCTGTAATGCAATACATACAACAGTCCTCACATCTCAGTTAGACCTTGTGTCAAAGGGTAGCCAAAGATTCAATGACAAACTTAGGAGATTTTACAGCTGTTTCTGGTGCAGTGTTTCGGAGGGCTCTGGAGCGGACGGATGATTTTGGCTTTCTTCAGGCTGTTCCTTTTGTTGTTGTGGCTGGTAGTAAGGGAGTAGGAACGACCATGCATCATCCTAGCATTGAGACCATTGGCCATAGAGAATGATTTGAGATGGCTTCTTAAGGCAACAGGAAGTGGCAGTTTGTCAACAAGGTGCACAGGGGTGCATGAAACTATGGCCCGGCAACAGAGATCTTGCAAGCTCAGGACTTGAACAAAAAACAAAAACAGGTAGATTAACCTTAATAACAAGATGATTATGCATAGCCACATGGTGGCAGTACACGCAACTAAATACTGTACATAGTACAGTATTTTTAAACCTCTTTTATCCATTTTATTTTCATTGTTTCGGAAAGTTCTTCTAGTTTTATCAATTGGAAGCTTCTCAAAATGTCAAAAACAGAAAATTTGGCAGTGGCAGCTTCTAATCTTCATAAGGTTTGAGCCAACAGATCCACAGATCCTTTTTTTAAAAAGAAAATTTGGTCATGGACATGAGATATCATCATTTGAAGTATTGCAGGACCACATTTCCAAAAACCTTAGGAACAAAAAAATGCTTATTTCTAGTCATATATGTAACCCAAGGCAGGAGTCAAGTGAAATAATAGTTATTCTTTATAAGTATTGGGCAGTAGATGCCCTCCCTTTCTCCTTTCCTCTTCCTCCCCCAAGTAGCAACTTGTTAAAATTATTTGGGGGTGTGACATTTTTTACTCCATCGACCTCCCCTCAATCTCAGGAAAGGAGAGGCAGATTCATCAGCCTTGCATAAATACAATTTGTGGTCCTTGAACATATAATACTAGTTGCCTGACAACTCTCTCTCTCTCTCTCTCTCTCTCTCTCTGTTTTCTGCAAGGCAAGGGCAGCCTTGGGAATGGATGCTTCCACCCATTACTCCCAAGTTCCTAATTCCAGCAGGATTTGAAACAAGCATTTGAACTTGGTTTGTAAAGCATGATGAAGAAGGGTAATGGTTATTGTTAAGCAAGGTTAGCACTAATACAGATGCAGTGCTAAATTACAATTAAAACAAATGAGGAATGTGTGGAAGACATCTGTTACTAAAGCTAGCTCACAGTTTTTACCCTTTTTTACAGCAATGCGGTATTACATCAAATCTCAGACCAGCAAAGTAGTTTAAAAACTAAACGCCCATGGGAAAAATGTTTATTCCCACCTATAATCGAAGTATTTGTTGGAACAAATCTTAAGGCTGGTATATAAAAAGAATGCAAAACACTTTTTTCATTACTTACCTTTGTTCGGCCTCCATAGTCGGTCCATCCCGTGTCTCATTAATACTATCCTTGCAAGTTCTGTAAAGGACTCTGTGATGTTGAAATTACAGAGCGGGCTTACTTCAAAGAACGTCATACCCAATCTTTCAGCATATGCCTGAGCTTGCTCAGTAGACACTTGCCGTTTGAAGGCCAGATGTAGGCGATTGCCAACCAGGATTTTCGGTACACCAGGAGCATGCTGAGTTAAAAGAAATAGCAGTATGTTGCTTTCCAAGTCCACTGGCCTTGCCTTCAACAAAATACAATTGGCAGAACAATCTAATGGGAGCAGAGGAAGGAGAAGTGGCAGGAGAATCTCTTTTTTCCCCTATGCCCTGCCAGGCTCGCAGCAGACAAGTGGGCTGTGCTTGTCATTTACAGTTGTCACTGTTCTCGTTTTTGAAAATACATTTTCCTTCCACTGTCTCCAGCTCCTGGCCTGATTCTGGGCCTCAGTCACACAGGAATTAAATAATGAGCACCAGCAGCTGGCTGGTCAGTGCAGTTGGTCTCAGATTCAGCAAATGTACTTACTCTGTGCCTGGCACCCTAAGTACCAAGTGCATCAAGGATAGTACTGCAAAGAGCACTCTGTAAGAAGTGATGCTGTAGTTATGAAGGCTTGGTTGATGTCTACCTGATATTCAAGGAAGCCAACAGCTTTGGTTGGGTGGGGAGCCACAAATACCAACAGAACATCCAAGTGTGACTTTAGGTCCAGGACCATATTAGACGTCATCACAATTTTTATTATGCCTAATTAAATCTGGGCAACTAGGCTAATAAAATATTGGCACAGTACTGAAACTACTGCCTTTGGGCAGGTATTAAAAAGGCAGAACCACACATTATCGCTATATGACAGTTATCCTGTTAGGCATCCTTCAGTCTCGAAACACTATAGTAACTTGCTCTGTATGGAGGACTTGGAATAGCATCTAGTGTGGCTGAGAAGGCCAATTTGAGAGTGACAGTCCCTTCCACACTGAAGACAAATCCAGTCCTGCAATCCTGAAATATGCTGATTCATCCTGATTCATGCAGATGTGAAAACATACAGGAGACAGGGCCCTCTCTGGTTGTCCACTGCCAAAAAGCAAGGCTGGTTGATGTAACCTCTGCTTGGTTTTATGAACAACTTAATAAAAGTTGGTTACCTACTTACCAAACTGGCAGCTGACTGCCAATCATGCACAATGGCAACTAAAGCATTCTTATTTTGAGAACCAGGAGAGAATTAGAGTAATATTGGGCAAGGTAAGCTGTGTCATCTGGCACTACGGTATCTGCACTTCTCAAGGCAAGCTCCTTCTATCTCAAAGAGCACTTATATGTTCTCTAACCACAGCTGGTTGCTCAAGACCCTCACAAACTGAAGTCTTGATAGCAATTGCTCAAGAAACGTCTCTCAACATCTGGTAAAAGCGAGAAAATATATAAGCAACCATGGCAAAGGTTGGCCAGCAAAGCAGAAATTATGCCAGAAGTATGAATTTAGTAATGATGTCTAAGATGAACAGGATTGCAAACAAATATCACAGCAGTCTGTTGTTGATGAACTCCCTCTAGGTCTGCCGAGTCTTGGGAGAATAACTTATCTGTTGCTCAAACCTCAAAATACACTGTACAGATGAAATGAAGGCAGAAGAGAAAGCTCTCTACTATAGTGCAATGGGACTTATGCCATCCTCATTTGGATTTGCCATAGGTCCTCAGCCATTCCTGCCATAATCATCCCATGTATTCCAGAAATCTTTTGATGAAGAGGAGGTAGTGCCAGAGATGAGGAAGTCTACTGATTTCTCTTTTACCCATCACTGAATTTAGTTCACCCACTTAATTAGTTCATCCACTTAATGAAGAACCTGTAGGACCTGGTTATATTCATAACAAAAAATGAACTGAACAACATTCTCAACATTTATACTGACAAAAATCTTCAAGTACAGGTATCCCCAGCATGGAGGAGGATCATGTTGCACCTGCCTGCCATACAGCTGCCAAAGATGAGGAGCCTGTCATAAGACAAAGAGCTGGCAATCCTAACTCAGCAGTAGAAATATGACTAAGTATACTTTATTTAAAATTAGACTTTTAAAAGCTGAGAACCATAGCCTTATGGGCAAATCTGATTTCTGCCAGACTTCAATTTTCAAAATCGCAATTTCTTTCCATCAAATTTATGAAGACATCTGCAAATTCTTGAAAGAGATTTTCACTCATCCATCATTATTAGTCATGAAAGGAGCCTCCCTGAAGAATGTGAGGACTGTAAACACATTCCAGTGTCTCCTCAGTGAAGACAGCAAGCTGTTGGCTGATCCTTTGACTCTGGATTGCTTTCAACACTTAACGAAGAAGAAGGTGTAGTTCAATAACTTTCTGTAACTCTATAAGTAATGTTCAGGGATGTGTCTTACCTCATCAATCTCCTTTATCCATCGATCAATGCCATCAAATGACCAGCGATTTGTTATATCATATACCAGTATCACACCCTGAGTGAACAGAGAACACTGGATTACTCTGACATGTAGCTAAGACATGCAATGTATTGTACAAATTTGTACAATAATCTTTCTATTTAATGAGCAGGAAATGAAAGCTAAAACAAATTTTAACATTTTATTGAAATAATGTGATTCTGGTTATTCAAAGCATGCTCCCTTACTAACTGTGTGCACTTCTATTTGTAAGCAGTATAATTAATAAAGTTTTAAACCTTATTGTATCTCTTTCACTCTCAACTCCACATTAATTCATCCTGTAGTAACAACATATTTCAGAGGTGCTAGCCTTGTTCTTACCTGGGCTCCTCTAGAATAAGAACGAAAGATGGTGCAGAATCTGCCTTGTCCAGATGTGTCCCTAAAGAAGATACACCAGACAATTTATTTATTACATTTATACAATATATTACATTAACATTTCATGCATAATCTATGAAGCTACTTTATAAGAAATCAGACAGTTAGTCTAGTTACTCTGTATTGTCTAGTCTGACAAGAAGATTTCAGCAATACTAACTCCTTTTGAGGAAAAAGTCAGGGTATAAATATATGAAATAATAAATAAATAAATAGTTGAAGTGTATACATTTAGGCCGAGATCCAATGGTGTATGTCTACGAGTATGTCGTATATCCAATACTGTACCTCTGTATCCAATACTAGTGGAACCAGGGCTCCCCCCCCCCGGTCACCCTTGCTGCAGCCCTTCACTGTGGCAAAAACAAGATCCAGAGGGTTTCCCAGCCCTCCTAAGCAGTTTTTAGGGTGCACAGGGGACTACAAGGAGGGGAGACCACCGATTCTGACAGAAGCAGCAGAATCCAGCAGAAATAAACCACTGGCTAATAATCTTTCATGTTTTTATTCTGCCTAAAAATGCTAAAGAGCCCTAAGCTTCAATATGCTTTACAAACAAATTGTCATTTTAAGGAGGACTCTCCTTACATGCAACATGAAGTCTACACATATGCCAAAAATCATGCTACCTAACCAAATTAGGTATTGGATTAAAAACAAGTGATGAGCATAATAATAATCCGATTTCACATATTTCAATCACATTTCAAAATGTTTTTAATAGAACAGTGTCTCTTTTTAAATGGTTTATAATAAAACCTAACCTTAACAGAAACAAGCGCATTCAAAGCATAATGTTTATGCTTTGTGTTCTACCATCTACAAAACACACTGAACTACAGCATACAGATTGGGTTCTTTTTATTTACAGAAATTATCAAAGCAACTGGAATAGGGAGACTGACTTTGGACACTAATAATTATAATGGGTCATGTTATAGGGCTCCCGAGGAGAAGACAGTTGGGGATCCACTGGTAGATCTTGCGTGATTTATGACATGTCTGCAATGGGTTTCTCATCCCCATTCAGCAGCTGAATTTTGGCTCCCTCTGTTCTGGCTACAGTAGATTCTTCAAATGAAGAAAACCCTTGTGAGAAGGAAGTAATTTTGTGTGTTGTGTGTGCACAACAGTATTATGGACCCAGTTCTGGGAAAGTATTTGCTGACTTCAATACACAGCTCATTGAGACATTTGGCTTTTATTTTACATTTTGCATATGTATTTTAATTCAACAATTGTTTAATTAATTTAGAATGCTACCTTGAAATTTTGTTAATAAAAGGCAGTGTATAGATATTTTAAATATATATGTAATACACAAACCAGAGGTTTTTAAACAGATGCAAAGAAACTATAGTGGAACCCTGCAAGACGATTACCCTGCAAAATCGTTTTTTCGCTAGACACTGACTTTTTGCAATCGCTATAGCGATTGCAAAACAATGTTTCCTATGGGGGAATTTCGCTGGACGATGATTTGGTCTGTGCTTTGTGGACTGTTTGTTTGCAAGATGACAGTTTTTACAGCTGATCGTTGGCTTCGCAAAATGGCTTCCCTATGGGCGATGTTCGCAAAACAGGTGTTTTCAGGACCTATGCTTTGCAAGAAAGCGTTTTTACAGCTGATTGACGCTTCACAAAATGGCTTCCGTATGGGTGATTTTCGCTGGACAATGACTATTTTCCCCATTGGAACGCATTAAACGGGTTTCAATGCATTCCTATGGGGAAACGCTTTTCGCTAGACGATGTTTTCACAAGATAGTGATTTCAATGGAACGGATTAACATCGTCTAGCGAGGCACCACTGTATTTTAATTATCATCAGGGCTAGGCTACCAAGTGGCAGAATGAAACAACCTGCTTCAAGTAGCACTATGGTAAGGACACAACATTACAGTTTTGAAACAATCACAACACCAGCTTGTGAAAAATTAATATGACTACATCCCCAGAAGAAATGCTTCTACTAGGATTGTTTTCAAAGCAGAGGAGCACAATTGAGACAAATGCATTGCACACACACTTACCAGAGTTGCAGCTTTATTCTGCGGCCATCCAGAAGTATAGTAGTTGTTTTGTAGTCAATACCTGGGGTAAAAGTGAGGAAGAATATTTGAATAATGAAAACATGCCTATTTTTGCCACCACCATCCAGAACAAGTACAGTGGGGTCTCTACTTAAGAACGTCCCTACTTAAGAACAATTCCACTTAAGAACAGCTCCATTTGCTAAATTTTGCTTCTACTTGAGAACAAAAATCCAGATAAGAACAGGAAAAAAAAACTTTCCTGCTCTTTTTTTAACCTTAGGTCATCTTAGGTTAAAAAAAAGTTCTCCCCCTAGTGGTAGAGTACGTATTAACCAGCTTTGCATTAGTTCCTATGGGAACTAATGCTTCAATGTACGAACGCACCTCTACATAAAAAAAACAGCCAGAACAGATTAATTGGTTTTCAGTCCATTGCTTCAAAATTAGCTTCGTCAGAAGTGCTTTTAACACTGTTCCCTGACCCAAGGGGAAAAAAAAGAAAAAATCCCCCTCTAGTGGTAGAAGGCGGAATAGCAGCTTCTCATTAGTTTCTATGGACGGAAAAGAGCAGATACGGATTAAATGGTTTTCAATGCATTCCTATGGGAAATGCAGATTCTACATAAGAACTTTTCCACTTGAGAACCACCTTCCAATACGGATTAAGTTCTTAAGTAGAGACCCCACTGTAACTGAAAGAAAACAATTCTCATCATTAGAGGCCAGCAAGTCACCTCCGCTAATGCTGATCATATGAATGAGCAACCTCCAAAATGTCTTTTCCAGAGAATTATGCCTTCTCACAATGTGGCCAAAATAGAATATATCATTCTCAGATTCATTATTTTTTCCCTTCCAGATATAGTTCAGGTTTGATCTAGGACACACTTGTTTGTCTTTCTAACAGTCCAGGATATCTCCAAAGCTCTCCTCCAGCACCATATTTCAAACGAATAACTGTTTTTCATGCCAGTTTTCTCTTTTGTCCAGCTTTTATATCTGTATGTAGTGATTGGGAACACAATAGCACGAATGATTTTGGTCACTGACATGTCTTTATACTTAATAATCTTTTCTAATTCCTTCATTGTTGCACTTTGAAATATCACCCACAAAGAGCTCAGATAATGAGGCAGGAAAAGTGGAGCTTATAGAGAAAGAACTGCATTATAAGCATCTTCTGTAGTGCAGATACAATTCACGCACAGTAATGCCTCCAAAACATAACCAAGGAGGGCCCTGAAACTACTTCTGAGTCCACATTTCTCAGAAACTGGTTTTGAGCACATGTTTCACAGAAGATGCTTTTTCCTTAAGACATATTTTGAGATTTTTTGTCTTTCTTACCAAAAAAATGCTACTTTGCAGAATAATTTCCAAATGTTCTCCTTTTTTTAAAGTGGTGATGATGGTTGCTTCCCCTACCACCACCACCACCACCACCGTGCTCCGGAATGACACAAGACAGAAGGTAGCATGGGTAGCAAAATGGGGTCCATGTTGCCAACACAAACTTAAATATGTGTGTGGAGAGACCTGACAGGAATATACAGAGAGTGATTACACATGTCTGTACACAGTTGTGTATTATTTGTAGGGCTTATTAAGTCACTTGCTAGAGAGGTGATGTGGACTGCAAGTGCTTACTGGCTGATGCCAACAGCACCCTTCTGTCACATCACTTCTTAATATCCCTGAAGCAGATCTGCAACTGGGTGAGAGAAAGGTATCTGTGGGGTTCTTTTAAAAGATCACTTTTTACAAAACAGTGCTTGGATACTATCTCCATCACCCTAAACAGAGAATGCCCTGCCACTTCAAGACCTCTTTCCAATTTTTAAAAAGTTTTATCTGTACAAAGCAATGACAAATTAATAACTAATCTCTCAAAAAGCACTTTGTAGCTTTATCTCATCATAGGGTTTTTGCAGCACTAGAAGAGATCCTTAAGAGTAAGGATGTGCCACTGGAGACTAAGGCCAAAATCATCCAAACGATGGTATCCCCAAATGCTATGTATGGATGTTATATAGCTTCACAATAAAGAAAGCAGGGAGATGAGTGTTCATCCAAAGTCTGGTGTTGAGGAGAGCTTTATTGATGGATGACCAAAAAAGACAAGGAAATGGGCATCACATTGATGAAATCATCTCTGAGTTCTCTCTAGAAGAAAAAAACACTAAACTAAGGCTCCAATACTTTGGCCATCTCATGAGAAGAGAAGATTCCCTGGAAAAGACCCTGATGTTGGGAAAGAGTGAAGGCAAGAGGAGAAGGGGACGACAGAGGGTGAGATGGTTGGACAGTGTCATCGAAGCTACCAACATAAATTTGACTCAACTCCGGGAGGCAGTAAAAGACAGGAGGAACCGGCATGCTCTGGTCCATGGGGTCATGGAGAGTCGGACACGACTAAACGACAATAAGTCTATCATGCTTTGGCCACACCATGAAAAGACAAAGAGAGTCGGACACGACTAAACGACAAAACGTCTATCATGCTTTGGCCACACCATGAGAAGACAAAACTCTATGGTAAAAATAATAATGCTGGGAAAAATGGATGGTGGTAGAAGAAGAGGATAACCAAATATGAGATGCGTTGATTCAATAAAGGAAGCCACAGCCATATGTCTGCAAGTCCTGAGCAGGGCTGTCGATATGATATTTTAAAGATAATTCATAGGTTTGCTGTAAATTGTAAGCATCTTGATAGCACATAATAATAACAAGCTTTACTTCAACAGTTAAGTCTACTTAAGGACACATGATAAATTATAAATCCACTAAGTGAGGAAAGGAAGGGTCCTCTGTCTTGAAACAAGTATTGAGTGATCAAGTTAGATTCACAATAATCATTTGGAAAGGAACCGTGTTATGTTACAGTGACAGCAGTCTGGATTTCTCAGTAGTGGAAAACAAAATTGTATTTTGGAACAACAATGGATATTCCCATAAGTTCATGAAGATGACAAGGGCTATAAAAAGTGATTGCAGAAATGAATCCACTGTTACCCCTATAGCTCATTAAGATGGGTAAACTACTCCTGAATCTTATGACACTTTAAATACAGTACTAACTTTATTTATTTAAAAAATACAGTATATATATTGCAATTAATTCACAGAAGCAGTCTGAGATTGGGCAATGTCTTTATTGGATCACTAGAAAGTTAAAAAAAAATGAGTTTTTGAGTTCTCTGGAACTTGTTCGGCAGAGATGGCATTAAATTCGGGGTGAAAGAACATAGTTTAAAAAATTGGGCCAGATATGTTGGCTATGTCTCATGAAGCTAGACTGCCAGTAAGGCAAAAGAGAGTTTAGATTCTACATAATGCAGCAGTGACAAAGGGATACATTTTGCAGTCTTTCCCTCTATGTACTCTAATTAACCACTTCCCACCAGGTCTGCCAAAAGCCTTTGGGTGAAGCGAGACTTGGGAGAAATTTGGTTGTCATAAAAAATAGCTTTTGCATGAGAATAAACCTTATTGAGGATTCTGTCATCTCCAATCCCTCCCAATTTGGCAATAAATGACTCTTTAATCTAGCAGGACACCAAGATTTATTTATCTGTTTTGTTGATGTGAACAGAGACTTGAGACTCTGTTTCACATTTTTCTCTTTTAAGCCCACAAACAGGTCTTGCCTCACCCAAAGGGTACCGGCAGATCTGTGGGTGATGGTGGTGGGTAGCAGCATTTTGTCTATAGCAGGGAAGGACTGCAAAATGAATTATTTTTGTAACTTCTGACCCATGAAAAACCTGAACTTTGTTTTGTCTTGGTGGCAGTCAGACTTCCTGAACATCTGGCCCAATTTTTGAACTGTTTTTCTTCACCCCAAGTTTTATACCATCTTTACCTAATGAAGAGTTATGGTATTTCCAAAGAGATAGCTGTGCTAGCCTGTTTCAGTGTGTTGACAAAATTAGCGAGTAAAACGGTACAAAGGAGGGAGAGAGAGAGAAATAACAAATGATGAAATGCTATGACAACTTGAATTTGTTAGTCTTTAATGTGTCATAAGATTTTGACTCTGTTTTCTGTTTAATTTTAGCAACATGGTAGAACATTAACAGCTTGCTTTATTTGTAACCTTTTGGTGATTCAGTAAAGGTATTGCTCAACCTCAAACTTTGTTTCTGGTTTTATACAGCATATGTTTTCGCTGACTGCAGCCCATGCACCCAATAAATGGTCAAGTCTGCATTAGGTATTTTATTTATATTGTATTGCCTTATGTCTTTTTTCTCATATTGTGAAAGTGTGCCCCTCTCTAAATACTGAGAAATCCTATGGTCTGACAATCTTTTAAAACAGATGAAAGTGTGTCTTCTGATTTATATTTAACCTTGCTCCAACCACAGGTTGAATTTAATTAAAGCTCTTAATATGGATTAGCAGCCACTATGCAAGTGGCTAATCTGTGTTAATTTACCCATTAAATTAATGAAATTGCATAGAATTACCATGCTTTCTGATTACAGCTGGACCTTGGGAACTCCTTGGCCTCTGAGTGAAAGATGCTCATGGTAACTGTCTTCAAGGCAAAGTTTCCATATTACTCGTTTTTGTTTTGATGTATAAGCTGTCTTTAGAGAAAGGAACCAAAAAGCACCGCAGCAATTTTTCCCATACCATGTCATTAACATACCTCTCTTCTAGTTCAGATCTTAGGAGTGTTTCAGAATGTATATAAGAAGCTAATAAAATAGCTATTTGGATTTTATTTCAGCAGCAACAGCAACAAGTCTACATATGTTTCTCTATCTCTTGTTATGTAGCACATTTTGTAGTTAGTAGAAAAATCTGCAGGTTTATTATTTAAAATTACAGTAGGACTGCAGTATCCACAGGGGATCAGTTCTTCCCCTTCCCCAGCAGATGCCGAAAAGAACTGATACATAGAAACCCTATAGTATACAGTACAGTATATTGCATAATCTCTGGTTCCCTCTATTGGACAGTTCTGGTAATACACCTCTCTCTCTCTCTCTCTCTCTCTCACACACACACACACACACACACACAGAGAGAGAGAGAGAGAGAGAGAGA